TATGGTGAGGCATTATCCCTGCCATGGAATGCCAGGACAAGGGTCAGATCACCGCCGTAGAGCCTCCGGCAGACAGCCAGGTGCTTCCCTTTCACACCGGAAAGCTCCCATCACCCCTCCTGTGCTGATGTCATACAAAAATACAGTCATTTCGTGTCATGGAACGTGTGTGGAGCTGTGAAGTAACAGCAGAATGACTGTGAAGCTCCCACTGTGGCACCACTGAAAGCACCGTGGTAACCTCAATCTGTTGTTTGTTTTGACACTGAATATTTAGGTTTGAGGTCTTCACACATCTACTAGCAGAGCTGTCATACCATAGAGGACTGTTAGAGAATTTGTTGTCTGTTGCCTCACTAGTACATAGAAATGGGTAAAAAGAAGTAGAAATGCTTGAAGAAGACTAGTCTGTTGTGAAAGCAGCTCATTTTAGTCATTTGGTGATCTTTTTAAACTAAGTCTTATTAATATAATAAGGCAAATTTGTTACCAAATATAGGTTGTGGTGAGAGAGGAGATAATTTTAGACCTTAATGTCTTTGGTCCTGGCTCATGCCAGTGAAGCTATTTTGAGTTGGAGCTTGAAAAACATTTGCTCAGTTAGAGAGTAATTATAGTTATTTTCAACCTGGGTCTCATTTTCCCATTTTTCCCCAGTGTACTGGTGGAATTCAGCCAAAATCAAGTGAATTACTATGTAGTGCTATGCAAGTTTTAGTTTGAAAGAATCACTAGGATTACTCCAAATTGATCAGTCACTGTGTAAAGCTGATGAAATGACAAGATAAAACCCAAATCCCAAACACTGTGTATTAATCTCCTTTGGGTTGAATTGAGGGCCTTCAACAACAGTGCTCTGTGAATCAGAGAATTAGACTATTTACCACTACCCAGGATCTGATCTAATTATCATGCCTACTAATTTGCGAGAACGCCAGGCTTGTGTGGTGTTGGTAAGAGTGAGTATATCAAGTGTGTCTCCATCTCTGATGTTTGGTTTCATAAATCATGTGGTCCTGTCAGCATGGGAGTGTAAGAGGCAAAGGTTAGAGTTGTTAGAGTTCTCCGGATATAGTGCTATACCAAACACTGATAATTGTGACATTCTGGGCACATATAAGGGTTCTTAATTTGTGGATGTTGAATGTTTTGTATTCTCAGACACATGAAAATATTGCTTGTT